GGAGGGAGGGAGGGATCGGATGGATGGATGGTTGGGATGGAATGGGATGGATTGGGGGATGGGATGGGGGGATGGACGGGATGGAATGGATGGATGGATGGGATGGGATGGATGGATGAATGGGATGGGATGGATGGACGGGATGGGTTGGGATGGGATGGGATGGGATGGGATGGAGGGATTGGATGGGATCGATGGATGGTATCCGAATCATCCGATCGATCTGATAGATAGATAGATAGATAGATAGATAGATAGATGGACAAGAACGCAGATTGCACTTCAGGTGCTGTTGCCACTCCGTGGTCTGGTTCCTACTCTTTGAGCCCTGGTATGTGCGCTCTTATTCAACACAACACGTAGTTAGGGGGTGGGAGGGGAGGGAGGGAGGGATGGGATGGATGGATGGATGGATGGATGGATGGAATGGGATGGATGGAGGGACGGGACGGGATGGGGATGGAGGGACAAAGGGAGGGAGGGATGGGATGGGATGGTTGGATGGATGGATGAAATGGGATGGGATGGAGGGATGGGATGGGATGGAGGGATGGGATGGGATGGATGGAGGGAGGGATGGATGGGATGGGATGGGATGGGATGGGATGGGTGGGTGGGTGGATGGATGGAGGGAGGGAGGGAGAAAGGGAGTGATGGATGGATGGATGGATGGAGGGACGGGAGGGAGGGAGGGAGGGAGGGAGGGAGGGAGCAAGTGATGGGATGGATGGATGGGATGGGATGGGATGGATGGATGGACGGGATGGGATGGATGGACGGGATGGGATGGACGGGATGGGATGGATGGACGGGATGGGATGGATGGATGGATGGGATGGGATGGGATGGGATGCGACGGGATGGAATGGATGGACAGGATGGGATGGATGGATGGGATGGGATGGGATGGGATGGGATGGGATGGGATGCGACGGGATGGATGGATGGAATGGGATGGAATGGAATGGGATGGATGGGATGGGATGGGATGGATGGATGGGATGGATGGATGGGATGGATGAATGGGATGGGATGGGATGGATGGAATGGATGAATGGGATGGATGGACGGATGGGATGGATGGACGGATGGGATGGGATGGGATGGGATGTGATGGGATGGGATCGAACCGATGGATGGGATCCGATCGATTCGACTGATAGATAGACAGATAAATAGATAGATCGATAGATAGATAGATATCAGATCGGATTGATCAGATCTGATTGATGAGATTGATCTGATATGCTGATCTGATCGATCGGTCTATCTGATCTGATCGGTTGATCTGATGTGATCGATCGAGCTGATCTTATCGGTCGATCTGCTCTGATCAGTCGATCTGATCCAATCGGTCAAATTGATCTAATTGATCGATCTGATCGATCTGATGTTATCTGATCGATCGATCTGATATGATCGATGGAACTGATTTGATCAATCGATCCGATCTGATATATCGGTCAGACCGTAGTAAAGTGTTCTATTCAGCTGCAACAAGTGCTCTCCGAACCGTGGGAGATCGTCGCCCATCAACAGCTCTCCAACCTGAGTAACCTTTGTGGTGTGCCTGACACATTGCTATGTCCTAGTAGGGTGCTTTGGCCTTTTTGCAGTGCCTCGCCTCTTTGAAATCGTGCCTGCCTGCGTGTGTTTAGAATTTTTTTACCACAGAGGCGCGAAGCCCCTACCATTCCATTTTGATCTGATGGATTGATCTGCTCGATTGATCTGATCTGATTGATCAATCTGGTCTGATCGTTTGTATCTGATGGATCCTTCGCATCTAATCAGTCGGATATGATCTGATCTAATCCAATCCGATCTGATTCTGATCAATCAATTGAATCTGATCAATCTGATCTGATTGATCGATTGATCCGATCTTAATGAACAATAGGTCTAATCTGATCCGATCGATCGATCTGATCAGCTGGATTAGATCAGATCGATGTGATTCGATCGATCAGATAGAATAGATAGAGAGATACAGACAGACAGACAAACAGACAGACAGATAGAAATTCTACCTAAGCATTTCTACGCTGATCTACTTGGTTCAGACATGGCATCTGCTCCATTGTTTGTTGTGGCATGGAGCGAGAAAAAAAACCGATCTACTTTCTCTTTCTTGCAATCGTCCGAGGTGGCAAGTCTTGCAGCACGACGATCGACCAGTGATAGCCTGATAAGATCGAATTTTGACAACACTGATGTGGCGCAAAAGCTACACAAACTTACAAAGTCATTGTGTGCATATGATGGGGGTTGGAGATTTCCGTTTCAATATTCTTTCCGTTGTCGATAGGGAAGCTTGTGTCAGGAAACATCCTCCTTCCAAGCCATGCAATTGATGATCTTCCATGAGGTCCTCAAACCAACTTTCGGAGTATTAACGTACTGCCGCTGCTTGTCGTCTGCTTTCTGTCCTCTTTCTACGAAGTCTGAGCTGGCTAGTATCGCAATCGCGATCTTTGTTCCCTGTGCGTCTCTCATTCGTCTGCTTTTCCCGGCTTCGGCGGGTTGGGCCTGACCCTTGAATTTCAAAGAGTCAACTGTCTCATGTAGGGGCACAGGTTGCCTCATTTGACCCTGGACCCTATACTCCTTGCCCCTAGGACTTTTCTGAGACGTCTCTAGAGCTAGAGACACGACTTTTGAGTCTTGACCCCTGAATCTTGACTTGGACCAAAAGTTGCGACCCTTGCTTATGGCTGTGCGGATTTGAAAATTTTTGAACTGAGTTCATTGCATAATGTCTTCTAGGTCGAATCCACGACATATATTTTTCTCAGAGTTTTGTGGAAACTTTTCAAAACTATCTTTTATTTCACAAAAATATTGGTGCCAGTAGAGTGCAATGGTGTACAACAAGGAGTACAAGGCTCGTGCAACGGAGTGCGTTATTTTTTTTGCATGCGAGAGATGAAATAAAGAATGCCCTGAGGAGATTAAGGGTTATGAACTTCATTGAGGAATTTGAGGAGGCAAGAGCCGAGCCCTCTGTTGTTAACCCATCTGTTCTGTGCATCGCTTTCTTCAGAAAATGACAAAATGTTTTTTTTTTTAATTTAAATTTGGAGTCTTTGGACCATTTCTCGATTTATGCATGTCATCCTTGCACAGGGGCCATGCTAATCTTCTCTGTATCTTTCCAATTTTAAAGGATGTCCCGAAGGACAATGACAAAATGTTTATCATGGTAATTTTACTAATTTTCTGTGCTAGTCGCCGGGCCGTCGCCCTGTGGGGGTCCTGGGCGGCCCGGCCGGTTGGGTCCCCCAGTCGACCATCGTGCGGGCCCAGCGCATTTGTGAGCGGGGGGTCGGGAAGACCTGGGCGGGTCCAGGTGGCCTCCCGACGTCCGCCGCATGTCTCCAAACTGAACAGGTAGCTTAAAAAAAATAAATTTGAGGGGCGACAAGGCCCCTTTCGCACCTGATGTTACCAGCTGTCGATCATCGAAGGTCGACGGCCGTTATCAGCCGCTAAAGGGTCCCTGTTCAACCTCGGGTGGCCCGGTGAGGCTGGGCGCGAATGCCAGCTGCTTTCGATTTCGAATGCCGGTAGGGGCTGGCATTCGCGCGAAGCCTCCCACACGGCCGAGCGCACTCCCTCGCGCGTTGCAGCAGCGGTCGCCATTGCCGCGTGTCAACTTCAAGCTCCCACCACACTTGGAACACCCCACTGTCGCGCCTGCTCGTCGAACGTAGGTTCCCCCTGCCCCCCTGCGAGACTGCTTCTTCTTCTTCTTCTTCTTGTGCTTCTTGTTCTTGTTCTTGTTCTTCTTCTTCTTTCTTCTTCTTCTTCTTTCTTCTTCTTTCATCTTCTTCATCCTTCTTCATTGGTCTTCTTCTTCTTCTTGGTCCTCCTTTCTTCATATTCTGCTTGTTCTTCCTCCACTCGCGAAACTGCACGACCGACATAGTTCCTCGGCTTGACGCGTGGCCTTCGTGGCCACCCCCCCGTGCTCAAAGTCCTCCTCCTCCTCCTCCTTATTCCTTTCTTCTTCTTCTTCCTTTCGTTTCTTCTTCTTCCTCGTCCTTAGCAGTCCTACCTCGGACTTTACTCCCGACATTTTCCCCCGCCTGAAATCCCGCCCTTTTTTTTTTTTTCCTTTTTTTTTTCACGGATCGCTGCTGTCTCGCCCTCGACATCGGGACACCTACCCTCGCCCGACAGCTCATCCATTCCTCGTGAACAGCCTGCCATCTGTTTGGAAGCGCCCGTCATCTACTACCACCCGCCATCTGCCTCTCCTTCTTCTTCTTCTTCTTCTTTCTCCTTCTTCTTCATCCCCCTTTCTTGTTCTTCTTCTTCCCCCTCATCAGGATAGTTTCTCCCGTCTGTCCCAATTTACTCCCCCTGTCAACCCCCCCCAACCCCCCCCCCCACCCCCCCCCCCCCCCCCCCCCCCCCCCCCCCCCCCCCCCCCATCCCCCCCGAATACCTTTCACCAGTTTCTCAGCGTTTTTGGGCTGCTCTTGGCAAGTGCAGCAAAAACCCATTCTCAGAAAAATAATAATAATAAATTGCGGGACACTGTTCAGGTCACCCGGTTTTGCTGGGCGGAACCCCCCCCAGTCCGTCTGGCCCGGGCCTGCCCGGCCGGGGGGCGGCCCAGACCAGCTAATTTTACTAATTTACTGATTTTGTGTATGTTTCAATATATGCAGGTTATGGATAAAAGGTTTGAGAACAAGGCAGCATTTTTTGTATTGACTGCCCCTGACTTCTGGGAGCCGCAGATCTACACGCTTGATGCAGTGCTCCCAAGGCCACAAGTGAGTCGCTACTTATCCTCCCCAAACTTCACATTTTTATCAGAGTCTTGAACCCTTGTTCTCCTCCAAGTTTGTTCCTTTTGTTTTCTGTCTCCTTCTATCCCTCTGCCTTTCCTAACCCACGGGGGTTTGTAGTACTTTGTATCCACGTGGGTAACCCCCACCCCGTCTGTTTTCTGCACTTATCTATGTGGTGAACGACTCTGCACTTATGTGGTGAACGACGACTGCATGCATGCACATCATCTGAGAACTTTGTAAGTCAATAAGCTACTTCTGATGGCCCTCGCGTTGTCGAGGAGGTGATCTGTCCTGTGGACGGTTTCTTGAGTTATGCGTGTCGTCCTTGCGCAGGGGCGATGCTAATCTTTTCTTTCTCTGTATCGTTCCAATTTTAATGGATGTCCCGAAGGACGGGAGTGGTCTATCCTATATGTGCTCCGAGACTTTCGGTCCTGTTCCGATTGCGAAGTTCCTTGGAGAAAGAAAACACACGATCCCCTTCGTGTGCGTAGGAAATACGGGAGCCTCTTCCTTGTGCCCTCCATCATCAGAAGGCAGAGGAAAATCCTTGACCATGCATTTCAATCACTGCAATAAAGAAATCGGAAATCATCTTCGTATCTTCTTTCCGTGAAGGGGAATATATGTTATTTCGCCGCGGCGGCATGTAGGATTTTTTTTTGCAAATGTGGTTGCTGTAGATGACACTGTTTGCCGGGCTGTTTCATCCGGGTCCATCCACAGGGTAGAGGTCATGGCAGTCTTCCAACTGTCACGACAGCTTCTGCTCCTGATGTGTACATTACTGTCAAGATGTTGGGTAGGTGTGTGGGAGACGCATACACACACACACATACGCACACAGACACACACACACACACACACACACACACACACACAGAGAGAGAGAGAGAGA